GAATCTGTCGACTTCCTGTACACAACATTGGGCATACCGTTCACGACGTCGTCTCCAGACTCTATGCCTGCCGTCCGCTAATCTGAGGGTAAACCTGGGTTCATCGCTAAAGACGACTCGATTCCAGTCTCTCTGGGTCCATCGGAGGTGACGTTGGGCCCACAGCAGACGTTGACGTTGATGAAACGGCGTCAATATTGGCCCACGATATGGACGTCGAGAATGGAGATTGGCAGCCCTCAACCGATTTCGAATGGTCTGTGAGTACAGTCGACCTCTAAACATCTCAGCCCTGGTTCGTGTAGCCGGCAGAAATCTGTCAGGTAGGTGACGTTGGACGATTTGACGGTCTTCTGCTCGTGACGTCACACGTTGACGACCCGACCTTGGGCGATCAGAAGTGGTGCCAGTTTGTTGTAGACGACCTCGCAAGTCTTACACAGTACGACGGCTGCATCCCATTGCTCTTGCGACGTCAATAACTGATCTTCCCGCTTGCAACATGCCAACGGCATGTTCACGTTGCACATTTGACAATCGTGGCATTTCAAGTACCGTTAGAACTGTGGTTTAAAAGTGTTTTTGCAATTCTTGAGGCCAATGCAAACACGTGCATATGAAGAAAACTTCGATGCGAAGATCACGTGATCGACTGCACGTGCGAAACCTGATTTGGCACTAACGTTATTTGCACGACGAATGGATGGGTTTGAGTGCGTTTTGCTAACGTTTTCTAGAGTCGAAAGATAGGGATCCCATTTCGGATACATAGATGTATCATCAGAGAAAAATTATTCATTTTTTTCAAATTACATTTTGTGAAGTTTCTTTTTTGACTCAGTATATTTTATTGGACGTATATTTTTGGGGCGTCCAAACCGAGTTCACAACGATGCCACAGGGGTGCATGGGACATGTCATGATGCAACAGAGATGTGATAGACTAGCTACTCAGTGAATACTGCTTAACGCCGCATCCTGGGTCGCGATTGGTCGTCAGCTGTCTTGTCATCACAATCAAATCACCGGCCGGTGAAGTTGGTTGTACGCTGTACCTTTTACATTCCGACACTGGTTGTTACCATTTGAGTGAGTGAGTTTAGATTTACGGGGCACTCAGCAATATTACAGCTATATGGCGGCGGTATGTAAATAATCGAGACTTGACCAGACATTCCAGTGATCAACAGCACTGAGCATCGATCTGCGCAACTGGGATACGATGACATGTGTCAACCCAGTCAGCGAGCCTGACAACCCAATCCCGTTAGTCGCCTCTTACGACAAGCATGGGTTACTGAAGACCAATTCTAACCCGGATCTTCACGGGTCGTTACTATTTAAAAAGTGAAAAACACGAAAGAGTGAATTTGAAATAAGTATTATGCGCAAGCGTGCGTGCGTGCGTGCATATATATTCACTTCTTGCCCTTTAAAGTTAAAATGATTTCTGTTCAACGTTTGAGCTCCAAGACAAATTTAAGCTCCCAAGGTTCACATTCCAAGGTTCACATTCTCCATGTCTCAAACATGGTGACTGGGCTGACGAATACAATTATATTTGTCATGACATACTGAATGCATAAAAAGGTCAATGGTAAACACCAGAAACAAACCCCGTTTGCTTAACGAGACCCAGTAACGCTGGGGTCAGCCCGTCCGATAGGCAAACATGCTTACATCATAAATATGTCTTTACACGTTAAATATCATATGTGTCCAAATGCCAAGAAGTGATGTTCATTGTTGTCAGTATGACACCGTGATGCCCAAAGCCATTCCCTTCTACAGGCATGATGTGAAGGTTACAAAGAGGATTACACAAAAATAAAAATAAATCGTCACAGTTAGACAACTGCCTGGTTAGACACGAGGAACGATTTCCGCTGTTGGTTGTTCACGATGTACGTCTTGAAGGTTGAATGACTATGTCGTACTTAGACTGTCAGTAAAATAAACTTCAGATTTGTCAGCCGCCCACCATACCTATCAACTTCGATATCCTTTCTTTCCAGTTTTACAAAATAATCACGGGCTTGACGCTTACAGCAATTGACAGTTCTGACATCAGTAAATATGCATATAAAACTATAGATTATCCGTAGCCGTGTTGAGAAAGAGTTCATTAAATACAAAACGCAAGCTACTAATGTAAGCACCACTTAAGTGACATAATTGCTTCCAATGAAATCTCCCACTTGACTTGCTATTTCATCGAACGTAATGGGTATAGAAAAAAAACCACAATATGAATCAATACTCTCGTCTGTGTGTGAGTAGTTTCACTCGACGTTACCGACATCAACATTGTTGTCGGAGTCCAGAGCTCTTGATTGTATAACACAAGTCATATTGACTGTAGCAGGTTTATCTCAGTTACTCAACACAGGGCAATACAAGTCATATTGACTGTAGCTATATCTCAGTTACTAAACACAGGACAATACAAGTCATATTGACTGCAGCAGGTATACCTCAGTTACTCAACACAGAACAACACAAGTCATACTGACTGTAGCGTCTATGCCTCCATCACTTATTACAAGGAAATACAAGTCATACATTCTCGGGCATCTATCCCCCCCCATCTCTTAGTACAAGGCAATACAAGTCATACAGTCACAAGCATCTATATCCCCATCTCTAAGTACAAGGCAATACAAGTCATACTGACTCGAGCATCTATACCTCCATCTCTTAGTACAAGGAAATACAAGTCATACAGTCTCGAGCATCTATACCTCCATCTCTTAGTACAAGGAATACAAGTTATACAGTCTCGAGAATCTATACCTCCATTTCTTAGTACAAGGAAATGCAAGTCATATTGACTCGAGCATCTATACTTCTATCTCTTAATACAAAGCAATACAATTCACACTGACAGAAGCAGCTGCATCTTATTTACTCGGTAACGGGCAAATAAAATCATACTCATAGTCTGGCTTACAGTCCCTGAACAGCACTATTTTCCCTACTGTGTATCCCTCCATGCAATGCTAAAGGCCTAAATGAAGCAAGTCTAGTTTCCTCAGGTTCAGGTTGTGAATCTCCGATTTCATTGGGGCTCCTTTGTGAATTAAAACGGGAATAATTGTTACTAATAAAATTACATATATTCGAAGACGATATTAGTCTCCTATACTCACTGTCTCCGTTACAAGTTACAGGTCAGTACAAGCTACATCAAATGTCTCTCCTATACCCTATACAGGGGAGTTTAAGACATTTTTACTGAAGGTGTCGTAAATACGTTACTGGGAAACAAGAAATGCTGTCCAAGATAATCTGCACTACATCATCGATTATCTTTTTTTTGCATTTGACTTTATCTCTCTGCCGCTATATCTATTGATTATATGTAAATTACAATATAGAATACTGGGTATCGAGGACAGAAGTGGCAACGATAATATTATTACTCAGTTAGATACAGCACCATCCAAGACATTCAACAGAAGGAATGGTAGGTTGCTAGAAGGTAGATGCATTTTAAGCCAGCGGTTGATAATGATAACATAGGAAGGTCACGAGTTTCGTATTATTCGTATGAAATGAGGCCGAGTGTGGTATTTTATTTATTTCCCACGCCTTACATGCATTAAATTGACAAAATAGCGTGTTTTTTTTATTTTTATGGTTTCAAACCGAAACCTGTTTCATAAAGAGGTTGCGGAAGAATTTTGTACTGTAGTACAATATTTGCATGACGTCACACTGTAATGACGTCGCTGCCTTGGTAACCGACGTCACGATGCATGTCAGTTGTCATTGCCTCGTACAGCCTCCTACAGTAAACTACTCCGTAGCACCCCGTTTCTTGGTTTTCAGTTGCTTCAAACGGCTAACATCACTCGTGGATACATTGCGTTTATGTTTTTCGACGGATATAATGTCTAAGTGCGACTCACAATTAAACAGCGACACCGCAACGTTCGCAATGTTTACATTCCCACAATAAATTTAAGTTGTAGAGTGAATGAATTCAAGTCGCTACGACACAGGTCAACGCGATACGACACTCGTGTCACGTATGAGATTAGTATGCACCTATCCATACGTTGACCACGTGGGTAATAATGATGTAGAGGTTGTTGTTCATAATGGCATGTCTGGATTCATTGTAATACCTTTATGCATGGATGAATGGTACAAAACCGCATGTAAGGAGTCATTGTAATACCTTTATGCATGGATGAATGGTACAAAACCGCATGCAAGGAGTGATTGTAATGCGTTTATGCATGGATGGATGGTACAAAACCGCATGTATGGATTCATAGTAATATGTTTATGCATGGATGGATGGTACAAAACCGCATGTATGTATTCATTATAATACTTTTATGCATGGATGAATGGTACAAAACCGCATGCAAGGAGTGATTGTAATACGTTTACAGAGAGACAGACAGACATTTATTCAGTAATAGGCCACTGGCCCAATATACATTCATAAATATAATAAAAAGTTACATGTGCTTTACCAGGGAGACTATATAACGTTGTAGATTATCCCTGGTTTTACATAAAAAAATCAGAATCTCTTATTTTCCCAACATTATATAAAAATAGGAACAAATTGTTTATAACATTTATGTTTTTTTAAGTCATTTTCTTTATAAAACTGTGTTATGAAATATGATGTCTCAAATATTTATCCAGAGACCTGGGTTCGACCTGGGTTCGATTCCCAGGATGGGCACTGTGTGTGAAGCCCTTTTTGTGTGTCCCCTACCATGATATTCATGGAATATTGCTAAAAACTGCGCGAAAACATACTCACTCATACACTACCTCACTCGCCAAACACTCACTCACTCACTCGCCTCTAATTACCAAGCAATGAATGGGTCTGCGGATTAAGAAATCATGTGATCTTCTAGCGCCTCACTGGCAAGTTTTGTTATCCAGGGTAATAATGTGTTAGGGCTGTGGACGTGCACAAGTGCGTGGAAACATGCGCTTTATATATAGCCATTTTAATTGTATTTAATCACCACCACCAACAACAACATATAGTAGTATCAACACCGACAATACTGTCGTCAACGCCATCATCAACACCACCAAAACCAACAACAACACTGACATCGTCAACACCACCACGAACAAACCCACCAACATGAGCACCTCCAATACCAAGTTGGTAATAGTATGGAATTTGGTGCTGATGTTTGTGTTTGTGTTGATGCTGTTTGTTGTTCTGGTTTTCTTGTCGATGTCCCATATGAAACTGAAACATTGTTTTTTCTGTGATAATGGTAGGTTTGAGTGACACAAAACATACTAGCACTAAAACGACTTAGTGTACAATAATGTGTCTTACGCATTACCTTTTCAACATTTATAGCAACACCAAAACCACCAAAACCACCACCACCAACAATAATACCAATTCAGCATTTATACATCACAGAGTATCCCACGTGGCATCAAACAGATGGTCCACGAGTTAGTGACTATTCAAGTCAGTTGTCGTACAATAACCTTGACCTTGACGAGGGTGGTCCGTTGTCCATGTCACCAGGATCCTGGTTAGAAATGGTCTTCAGCAACAGCAATAGCTGGAAATCTGCTGAGTGCGGCGTTAAACAACAAAGAATCATGAACATCAAAGGCAAGGTCTGCACTGGTGTTTTGCTCGATTGTACTCGAATCTTTGGACCTGGAGATGGAACCATTGGTCCGACGACACCAGGTTCCTGCTTCTTTTCACGGATGGTTGTCTGACAATTTTGGACACTGGTCATGTGCCAAGGAAAATTCATCCTACAGATTAAAACAAAACATCTGTTCGATTATACAACAAATAGTAATGAGAGTGCTTGTAATGATCTGGTCCTACATCTCGCTCAGATGAATCATTATTCATAAGATACTTGAAGTAATTTGGTGAGGAACATACGTCATAAATTTTTGAATGACGAATAACAAATGTTTCTAAATTTGGTCTCATGCTTTGCTCATTGAATGATTCCTCTTCCTAAGTGCAGATACAGTCAACGATTTTTTAAAATCTACTCATTGTTGCAGTTCGTCTTGTTTTTGTAAAATAAAAACGCATTGGCTAGTATTGCAGCTGAAGCAGTGACATGCAGAAACTGAAGTTAGTTCTGTGGTTCTTTCAGTTCATTGATTGCTGGTAGGCCGCGACCCATGGTTTCAACCGTTATAAATGCCATTATCACATCCAAATGTGTTTGACAAACCTGTTATTAGATATACCTTTGATATGTATGTTTATACACTTTAACTACTATGGTGACTTGGTCGCTATAAGGCAGTACATATTTGCTTGATGTAGGTCTTTTACCTTTATCACTGTAGTGAAACCAAGTGGCAGGGTGTGCGCTTTAAAGCCAAAGATCATAATTTGAGCAATTCGTAGATTCGAACCCATCATGAATAGGTGCACACAAGCACCGCGAGTAGTGGAGTTACACACGGCGTGACTGCCCCATGGTTCCTCTGCTCTTGCAGAGTTGCTTCCCTTACAGACCGGTTTGTTTGTTTGGTTGTTTGCTGTTTAACGCCGCTCTCAGCAATATTCAACCCATATACCGGTAGTCTGTCTGGACCATACAGTGATCAACATCATGAGCATCTGTCTTTGCGTTGGAGACCAGATTCGGTTTCCGCTTCTTGGCTTGTTGGCACCATGCCATTACATACAGCTTTCACTATAGTGATCCACGTTCTAGAACTACTTCCTTTTCTCCCCTTATTGAGCTGACGTTGTGAAATAACTGAAGCACTGCTCAAACCGACGTAAAACACAACTCAAGTCAAATATATAACAGGCAATGGTGAACCTTATACCCGATGGTATTTATGTGTATATTCGTTTTCTTACCTGGAGCACTTCGATGAACTGGTCACTAGGTATACTTCACAGAGTTCATTCTTTGAGTCGGGTAATATCTTTCAACAAATAGTGAGTGATATTTGCCTTGGCGCAAGTAAATTTCAGTTTTGGCATTCTCGTACGTGTCTGAAAATGTTTCAGAACTCTGAAACACCCATGTCACATTGTTGCAGCAGAGTCCTCAAGCTGGCGAGTCTACATTTGAGTGGTCACGGTTTTAGTTGCGCGGTTAAATAAACAGGATTTATAGTTGAGTGATTAATTTTGCAGGGTTTATAATGAGTGTGTAAGTTTTAGTTTTACGCCGCTTTTAGCAATATCACGGCAGGGGACACCAGAAATGGGCTTAACCCATGTGGGGAATCGAACCCGGGTCATCGTCAAAGCTTTAACGACTAGGCTACCTCTCCGCCCCTGCAGGGTTTATAGTTGAGAGATCAAATAAACAGGGTTTGTAGTTGAGAGGTAAATTAAACAAGGTTTATAGCCGAGAGGTCAAGTTTGCAAGGATTATAGTTGAGAGATCAATAAAAAGGTCTGAGAGGTCTAGTAAAAATGGTTTATGGTTGCGCAGTAAAGTCAATATGGTCATAGTTCAGAGGTTATGTTTGTATGGTTTACAGCTGAGTGGTCACGTTTGCGAGTTTACAGTTGAGTGGTCAAGTTTACGAGTCATATAGCAGAATTTTCAAGTTTGCACGTTTCTAGTTCTCACCAGACTGATTCGGTAGCCAGCACTACCAGGTCAGATTGCATGAGAAGTGAATGGTCAGGTTCCGTGACATAATGAATTACCTGGCTCTGGTAATCAATCAATGCTTTGTATGGCTCAGACACGGTGTTGTAAGCGTCGTGGTCACACAGGTGGAATGTCGTTGATGTCAACTAAGAAATATACACACCATAAATAGATCTACAAACCCACAGCCGCAACACCCATGAGTATGGCCAGTGGTAAAGGGAACAACTCATGCTGGCTTAAAGAGGTTGGATACCTTTGTTTGTTCGTACACCGTATGCGAAGGGATGTGACCGTTGCGTTGGAGCGCGTATTATTTTACGCAGAAAACTGTTATTTCCCTTTATCTTGCTTCTAATCATATCCTGAGGTAAACCTGGGCAAAAGTTATCTCCCCTTATCAAATTTAATTTGGGTATGCTGTTGTAATTGGAGATAATGTTGATACCTTCTGGCAAGATATATTTTTTTTATTTTTGAATATTAATCGAGCGTTAATTTACTATATATAAATTAAAATTATAAAAGTCTTGTTGCTATACAAATCTTTTTTTCATTAATGATTGAATGTTTTTTGTAAATTCCTGTTTACTTTAGAAGTTAATTAATGTGTCAAATCCTACATTCTGCCTTGAAAATTGATTTTCCTGCTTTATTTCGTATCAGTACTGACATATCTTTATAAAAAAACACATATCTAATAATGAAATTCAACAATTTACTTTTAAGAGAATTTTTACTGACGTATTGCTTTTACAAACGGTGCGACAAGGGGGCGCCACTTGTCAAACAAATGCCGAGGTGACTTGCTATTTTTATTACATAATTAGATTTGGGACACATTTTTCTACAAAATAAAACAAAAATTAGCAATTTCTTGACATTTTGACATTTTGTATGCAACCTCCTTCATATTATCCAGGCGGTTCAGAAAACGCATATCTGGTAAAGCAACTGTCTATCCTCTGCCGCAGCTCTTGTGTGTGAGTGACTCGATTATACATACCCTTCCTAGGAGACGTAGTTGTGGATGTGTCTCGATAATACATACACTGATTGTTCTGCTATGAACGTATCTGATACATACATTTAATTGGTATAGGAAACAGGGACCGGTTAGGGTTGTGCAATGGCGTACGTAAGGCTTATACAGGGGCTAGATATGCAGGGGACCATCCACGTCTATCCAATGCGGTGTATCGATTTAATACCTTCGACACAATCAGCATCTTCTTTTTGCGATTCAGGAGTGACGTAACTAGTTCCCTGCTCTAACAACTAGCTTGGTTCAGACTTCTCCAAATTCATGAGCTTGGAATCAATAACCAGTCAAAATTTCTCTTCTAAGAGTGAATTTAGCATTCAAACATACAGCCTCATCGGAATAAGCTCTCCATGTATAAAGACACATCATAAGACCTGTTAGAACTTTTTTGATTGAAATGACATAATACAATTGTTGACTTCTAGTGAGGTTGATCCAATGATTTATCAACCTTGGACATGTGAATGAATGAATGAATATCTATATTTCCTCCAGATAGGTCCGAAGATCCTCAAAACATCATGGTTATATAATTATATAATTAACAGAATACTCAACAAACATACACACACACACATATATACATATACATAAACATACATAGAATATGGGAACATTTCCCCAAATATATACAGGTTATTAGCAGTCAGGTATTGGCTAGATTATTACCACAAGTAATTGAGGATGTCTTTTAGTTTATACAAATACTTTGAGAATTCTAAAATAGTGAAATGCCTTGTTATTTCATCAATATCATTGTTATTGGCCCCAAGAAAGAATGCCAGTATGTCATGCTCTTCCATCATCTCTATTTTGATATACATGTCAATATCAAGATTATCGATTAGAGTTGAGAAAAATACATCTCTCTCTGAAAGTAGAGATACACAGTTTAGTATAACGTGGTGATAGAAATCGTTAGCGAAGGTATTGAATTTTTTACATTCTTTTGATAGTTTGCTTCCGGATCCAATCCTTATTACATATTGCAATTCTTCTCTCAGTTCTGGATATAACAATACCATGCTGTATAACACATGAGGTGAAAGTGCTGTATGGATTTTAGAATATCTAGACAAGTCAGCTCTGCATGATAGTTTATATTTCCAAACTTCTTCCTCGTGGTTACTGATTTCATTTACTACAATCTTTCTCCACTTATGTTTCGCCGGGAATTCTCCTGTGCAGATGTAGTCAAATACATAATGAAGTAAGTTATATTTCTTAGCTGTTGAAAGCAGTACTCCACATAAACTGTCTAAGTTCTTGGTATGAGAATAATAGAGTGAGGTAGATGCACAAAAGATTGTTTTACAGATTGGAACACATGATAAGTTACAGAGACGCCCAAGCAGCTGTAGTCT